CAATAATTTGAATTGGTACATCTTCAGGTCCGTAAGACATTCCGCCGAAAAAAGCAAATCTGGTCAGACAATCAAATCTTCAATTGCCAYAGTACTTCGACTCCACAACCCAAATATGACAGTGAGCTATCAAAGGAAACTCGATCAACTACCAATGGAGTAGAGAAAGTAAGTGATAGTTAAGACCATTATGATGCAAATTGGTTGAAATTAACTTTTAGTAAGTTGTTTCACCTACTTTTTTGTACGATGATGAATTTATCTTTTTACACAACTGTTGCTTACGATGCAGCCGGCATCTTGAACTATGACTAGAAAAAAGACCTCTGAAGGTTTTACGTCATGAACTGTATACAAGTCAGATCGCAAGCAAATTTTCAGGAACAAGTACTTAATGATATGTCKTTTTGTTTCACATTTTCAGAGACCGCATTCTTCAACCTCAACGTCAAAAATTATYATCAAGTAGCCAAATGACTAAATTAAAGTGCGCAAAATAACATAATCTGATTGTCAACCGGTATCGCCACTCATTGGAACTGTAACGAACACAAAATACCTGTATCTATAATATACTTAATATATTGTACATTCTGATTGGCTGACAACTGTGTTGTTCTACTAGTGAAGAGCATGGAACAMAGTAATGACGCAATCTTTTATATTAAAATAAAATTGATACATATAGGCTCTGCCATGCTCCGTTGCTAAAGCATGCTACGGAAATTGATTGGGAGTGTGCTTTACGAAGTGAGAACCACTCGCTTATGCTTCTCTCAGTTCACTTCCTTCGGTCTCTTCTCACATTGAGTCAGCGCATTCTATCAATCTTATATCAAGGAACGGAGCACGGATCAGCGTACGTTGTCTATCTTTTAAATACAAATAACCATACTCTATATAAAATCAATAATATATACAACAAATAAACTATGAACTTGGAGTCCAAGTTTTCTATYCATTCGATGCRAMCATGGTATAACTATAGCCTACTMAGACAGGCGTTCCTGSTGGGGGRGYYGAGGAGATAGATAGATACTTTATTGAAATTTACGTTTGCAGCCAGTGCAAGTTACAAAGGATGTGATTATTCAAAATATGTAACAAAACTTATACTTTTTATCCTTAAAAAAAAGAGAAAACAAGGGGAAATATAAAAATGGGCCTTCCGCTCCTCCTTCTCCACATTCTTCTCGGACCCACAGCAGGAACAGTTATGTAAAAAGATAAATTTAACACCGTAAAAAGTGTGTGTTACGGTGTTAAATTTATCTTTTTACATAACTGTTTCTTTAGAAACACCGACGCAGCTCACACTAGTTTACCGCTAGTTCCCACCACAGCAGGAACGCCTGTTTGCAGGCTATGGTCTAAGATGAATATACTACAGTTCAGTAGCCAATCAAAACACTAGATTTGTGATAAATTGGTGGATAGNGAACGGAGCACGGATCAGCGTACGTTGTCTATCTTTTAAATACAAATAACCATACTCTATATAAAATCAATAATATATACAACAAATAAACTATGAACTTGGAGTCCAAGTTTTCTATYCATTCGATGCRAMCATGGTATAACTATAGCCTACTMAGACAGGCGTTCCTGSTGGGGGRGYYGAGGAGATAGATAGATACTTTATTGAAATTTACGTTTGCAGCCAGTGCAAGTTACAAAGGATGTGATTATTCAAAATATGTAACAAAACTTATACTTTTTATCCTTAAAAAAAAGAGAAAACAAGGGGAAATATAAAAATGGGCCTTCCGCTCCTCCTTCTCCACATTCTTCTCGGACCCACAGCAGGAACAGTTATGTAAAAAGATAAATTTAACACCGTAAAAAGTGTGTGTTACGGTGTTAAATTTATCTTTTTACATAACTGTTTCTTTAGAAACACCGACGCAGCTCACACTAGTTTACCGCTAGTTCCCACCACAGCAGGAACGCCTGTTTGCAGGCTATGGTCTAAGATGAATATACTACAGTTCAGTAGCCAATCAAAACACTAGATTTGTGATAAATTGGTGGATAGTATATCGGATATTTTCCTCTCTAAAGGTATCCTATAAAAGTCATTATTCTTTACCAGCCGTCTACAATATCCAAACTTAATGTAATCAATTATTTAGTGCTTAGTCGAATCACGCTTTCAATCACTCAATTATGTAGTTCTACTTCCCTTATTAATAACTTATTCATGTCTCTACCATAACTTGGTCGCAGGTAGTTGTCACGGTGTTTGATTTACACATACATTTTTAATGTTACGTGTTGAAAGTCTGTTCGACTGTAATCAATCAATTAATAATTAAGCTCCATCGAAACTTGGTCCCAGGTACCAGTTGTAACGGTATGTGGTTTTGACGCAAGTTTCAATTTCTTTTTTTCTTCACACTTGCGATTTTTAAAGCGCGATTGTCGTGCGACGATTGCCTCTTCGAACACGCCTGAAATTTAGCTGCAACTTAATTTCCGATCGCCAYAATCACAGGGCTGTTTACACGTACGATTCTAGGTGCGCGATGGGCAATCGCGCTGCAAAAAACGCRAGTGTAAACGGAGCTTTACAGCAAAGATATTTCCCGTTTGCTCTGTATACTAAGTTATACGTTGCTGCAAAAGCGCGCAGGCTTTATATTGTTGGACTGAGAATCGCAACCCTTAGCGGATGAATGTATACCATTAGTTTGCTTAAATTACTTTTTGTAATATAGCGTATGCTTAGAAAAGAAGAGTCGCTCTATTTGCCTGCTATAGCTAATCCAACAACAAAAATATAGTGCAAGTGCTCGACGTATACATTGGAAATTCCTCGTAATACTTGAAACTCCTTTCCAATGTGCACTCAGAGACGCGCGAATTTCCCCATGCAAAATAAACTGCTAATCTGAAACTTGGTCTCATACTTTTTCCATTTATGTAGTAAACCATTTAGTAGAACAATGTATTTACAGTATGGGCTAATATTCAATTAATAGATCAATATAAATGTATGGTACATAATAAAGGAACTTGAAGCTCGTTGTTGTAATATTGTCCTTTGCTGACTGAAGCTGTTGCCACCAACACTAGATACAGTTTACAGGAATTACAGGCATAAAAAGACTTTTTAGAAAGAGCCACATGGTACTAAATCCGCCATACTGGATTCCTAAAGAATGTAAACCGCAAAAACATAGGGAAAGTAGGCCGTCAAATTTAATTTCTTTGTTCTGCACATCCCACTCCAGCATTGTAGATTTAGTACCATTTGACTATAACGGTATTTCATGCAGAAGCCCTTTTCCTCCAAAATTTGAGCTATTGTTGTTAAACAGAAGAGGCTTCCATGAAATCTGTCCAGTGATAGATGCGTGCTCTACTTCTGAACGGATCTCGGCGAATCCTCTGCTAATATTCAAAAGTAGTGCATTTAGGAAAACAGGCTTACTCAGGACCCTAAGACGAGTAGGCCTTAACGCTACTCAGCTTACGTATTTACAAGTGCTATGTACGGTGTTCTCGTATAGAAATAGTGCATTAACGGGTTTACTCGGCTTACGGATTTACAAAGATTCTGACTTGCATTTCCATTAGGAAAAAAAAAAAAAACAAAAAAAAAAACAGGTTTTTGAATGTCATGGAAACAACTTATATATATTCAGTTACGAAACGCACTTATGTGTTATAACAAAGTGCTCAACTTGACTACAACTGGTGATCTAATTGTAACGTTGCGTTGTCTCGAAAGGAGTTGAATTCGACGTTCTATAGTTAAATAATTTGATACACGCATACTAGGATTCATGAAAATACAAGTACATGGACGGATATCAATTTCATAACTAAGCTAAAAGAAAATCTCTGGTCCATCCTTTGTGCAGCTTGCTTGCAGTGGATTTGAATTATCTTTTGCGCACGTTTTGCGACGTTTATAAACTGTTATAATTCGCTGCTGATTAACTATCAAATCAGTGTTCCTCTATTAAKGGGTTTCAGCGGTGGTGTATCCCAGTGAGCTGAGCTTGTRCGCTGATAAAATCTCTTTCTCTTCTTCTGTGTAAATATGTCGTCTAAGTTCGGCATAGTGACTCCACCAAAAATGGCTTCTATTTCATCTAATGTAACATCACTYTGACTAAGTAAAGCAGCTTTGAGTTTAGCSCCCTGTGCCCATTGTGGGATCTTTTTCTTCGGTGCGTCCTCATCGTCGGTAGAATCATCGCTACAGATGTCATCGATGTTGTAATTTTCCGTTGTAGAAACGCATCGGACTTTTGGGGGAGGKGGTGGGGTCATGTCATAGGTACATGTATCTTCCATTACTTTACGTAAAGCTTTCATTTTCGCTTCTTCAGCCTCTCGTTGTTCCTGAAGTTTGCGCAAACGTTGTCTTTCCTTTTCTTGTTCTTCTTGAAGTCGGAATTTTATTTCTCGCTCTTTTCGTAGTTGTTCTTCTTTGGCTTTCTTTTCTCTTTCTCGTCTTTCTTGTTCTTCTTTTTCTCTAAAGAGAGCTGCGATTCTTTTTCGTTCCCTCTCTTCCTTTTCCTTGTCTTCTTTGAGCTTTCTTTCATGCCTTTCYTTTTCTTCTTTAGCCTTGCGCTCCCTTTCCTCCTTCTCTTTCGCCAGTCGCTGTTTTTCCAGATCTTTCTCTCKCTGMAACTCTTGTTCACGAAACTCTTGATGACGTTTTGCTTCGAGTATCTTCCGTTGGCGTTCTTGTTCTTCGAACTCTGCTTTTCTCTGCATCATTTCGCGGTGTTTTCGTTCTTCTTCTTCCTTCTCGCGTTGCTTTTGCTTWCGCTGTTCTTCTTCTTGTTTTCTTCTGGCGTCGCATTCGGCTTTCTTCTCTTGGCGCGCTTTTCTCTTTGCTTCTTCTTCTCTTTCTTTCATCTTCTTTGCTTTGTCTTCAAGACGTTTCCTCATTTCTTGCTTCTTTTCCAGTTGCTCTTTCTTTTCTTTCTGTTCGCGTGTTTTGGCAGCACGCAATTCTGCAACTTTACGTTCCTTCTCTTCACGTCTCCTACAGGGAAAGGAACCATTAACATTAAGTCAAATAMATGTACATTCGTGTAGAGTATAAAATACATTGTACACGCACTGATAACGCAGATTTGCTATTTTTGCCTTACAGGGACTAATAAACAAGAACTACAACAATGCATTAAATCAAAACGTAAAATTACGTCGGTGATAACGCGAGTGACACTCCAAGGCATGTATAAACAATAGAAATACATTGACTTGCCGTTTCTGGTCTTCAATTTTCTTCTGCTTTTGTTGAGCAAGTCTTTGGATTCTTTCTTTCTCTTTCTCCTCTTTTTCAAGTATAGCGAGTTTCATCTTGCGGGATTTTTCCTAAACGATAAAGATTCACATTAAGCAGACTGTTCAATTTGAATCATTCTACCTTGGTGTGGTCAGTGAGTCATGTTATGCGTAAATAAGTGTTCATGCATGTAGGCTACACTCCCCTTGCTGTCCAACGAATGAATGAATAATTGCATAATCTATGTAGAGAAATAAGGGGGAGGCACCTGTCTGTCCACCTTCTTAGGGGTGTTTCGCTTGATAAATGAATGGATGACTCCTGCATTGTTCTTTAGAACCTAGAAACAAACAACATTATAACGGTAAACATAATTAATAAAAAGTAAATAATCCATTAATAATAATAATAACTAGCTCCGTTTCTG